AAACTACAAGAATACAGCTTTGACGTGGAATACAAATCTGGCCTAATGCACCAGGATGCTGGCTGTCTATCATCACGGAGCACCAGGATGCTGGCTGTCTATCGTCACCCCGTGGACCCACCCGACCTTTCAGCACATGATTCTGACCCTTGTGTCTTCGCCATGTCTGCTTTCACCGATATACGCAAGGAACAGCTCAGTGATGTCCACTTACGGTCTATCATGCACAGTCTACGTTTGCCCCAAGTAGACATGTCGCTACACTTGTTTATTTTACGCGATGGCATTCTTTACCAACGCAACACCAGTGCCAAGGGACCAGAGTTACTACTCGTAGTTCCTGCTACACTCGGTTCCACTGTTCTTGAACAGCTTTACGACGCCCCCACCGCTGGACATCTCGGGGTCATGCGCACGTACGATTGTGTGCGGTGTAGATTCTTCTGGCCAGGCCTTCACTGTTTTGTGAGCCGATACGTTACTGCTTGTGAGTCCTGCCAGCGCTCCAAACATTCCACCTTGCCATTAGCTGGTCCGCTCCAACCAATAGACACACCCACCATTCCTTTCTACCGCGTTGGTCTCGATCTCATTGGATCATTTCCTACTTCTCTGACTGGAAACAAGTGGATAGTCGTAGCCACTGACTACGCCACAAGATGCGCTATCCCAAGAGCGCTACTGACAAGCTGTGCCACTGACGTCGCGGACTTCTTGCTTCATAATGTTATTCTTCACCATGGTGCTCCTGGACAGCTGCTGACTGATCGTGGTCGCTCATTTCTTTCAAAAGTCGTAAGCGACATCCTTCGCTCGTATTCGACGCATCACAAGCTTACTACGGCCTACCATTGTCAAACAAATGGTCTTACCGAGCGCCTAAATCGAACCTTGACAACAATGCTCTCCATGTACGTTTCCAAAGATCACCTTGATTGGGATAGTACTTTGCCTTATGGTACATTCGCATACAATTCGTCATGCCACGACACCGCTGGCTTCTCTTCGTTCTATTTATTGTTCGGCCGCTATCCAGCATTACCCTTTGAGATTCTTCTCCCATCAACTTCGCAAATGATTACAAAGTACGCCCGGTATGCCACTGCTTGGGCTCAAGTGGCCCGCCTAATTCCACGAGAACGTCGTCTTGGCTCGCAGCTCTCTCAGAAGGCCCGCTACGATAGCCATCACAGAGTAGTTTCCTACTCTCCAGGTTCATTGGTCCTCCTCTGGACACCATGCCGCCATGTTGGCCTCTCTTCAAAGCCCCTATTTCGCTACTCGGGGCCTTACAAGGTTTTACACCAGCTCACTGAGGTCACATATGAAATTACATATGAGACAGTCAATCGTCGTTTTCCGCACCCACCACTGACGTTGTCCACATGTCCCGTCTGAAACCATACATCTCTGCATGTGATCCTACTCTCCTATAGGCGCTGCCGAGACTGCGCTACTGCCGGGGGGAGGGGGGGTTATATGTTACACGACATCGGCAACGAGAGAGCATCACGTAGACGATGAAGGCAAGCGTGCTCGTGATGTTGTTGCTGTTGTTCCTCCATTTTGGCTGCAGCTGCCTTTGACTCTCCCTGCATATTTTGCGAATAAATTTATTTCTTTCATTCTCTCTCCCGTGACAGTATTTCAAGAAGAAACACAAGCTTGTAATATATGGCCTCTGTGATTAAGCCTCCTTTGTCGCATGTCCTTGAGGCCACATGTTCTACAAATATAGCCAATCCTGCTTAGCATCTGAATTAACTCAAGTTTAGTTCTCAGGAACAGATTAAAAACATCATGAGCCGTTTGCTGTCAAGCTTATAGAGGCCAATGATCTATTTTTGTATCAGTGACAATGCTTTAGGCCGACAGAAGTGGCTGCCAGCCGCGTGTTGAATATTTAAAAAATTTTGTTTATTTTTGTGGCGATCAATTTCTATCTCACCCCTTTAAAAATAAAATTAATTTCTTTACATTATCTGCCACTTCGATGGCCAATCCACCATAGTAATAGTAGATGGGAGCCATATTTAAAGAAACAAACAAGCAAGCAAGGGAGCTTCTCCCACCATGCAGCTGCGTGTGGCACTGTCGACCACGCTGAAATTTCTGGGACAATCTGAGGTGGACATATTGGTGAAGTTCATTGAAGCTGTTCTTTGCGCTACTGTCACTGGTATCATCGATGTCGGCACCAAGGAAGACATTGCCAGAGAAACGCGGGTGAAAATTCTGTACGTAGTTTGGCTTTTGTAATACCGCCGCCGTGTCGTACGAACACTTGCGGAACAGCTCCAATGGAGTGCTAGTTACACTGAAGCAAGGTGGGCTCGTATACGTGCCCAGACACAGGAAGAACGTGCTGCTGTGGTGCGAGAAACGCTGCAGCTCAATGCACATTTGACCGTGATCACTACATTTCATCATCATCATCAGCCTGACTACTGCCACTGCAAGACAAAGACCTCTCCCATGATTCGCCAGTTAACCCGGTCCTGTGCTAGGTACTCCCAATTTATACCCGCAAACTTCTTAATCTCGTCTGCCCACCTAACCTTCTGTCTCCCCCTAACCCGCTTGCCTTCTCTAGGAATCCAGTCAGTTACCCTTTAGGACCAGCGGTTATCCTGTCTACGCGCTACATGCCCGGCCCATGTCCATTTGTTCTTCTTGATTTCAGCTATGATACCTTTAACCCCCGTTTGTTCCCTAATCCACTCTGCTCTCTTCTTGTCTCTTAAGGTTACACCTACCATTTTTCTTTCCATTGCTCGCTGCGTCGTCCTCAATTTAAGCTGAACCCTCTTTGTAAATCTCCAGGTTACTGCTCTGTAGCTAAGTACCGGCAAGATATAGCTGTTATATACCTTCCTCTTGAGGGATAGTGGCAATCTACCTGCCATAATTTGAGAGTGCTTGCCAAATGTGCTCCACCCCATTCTTATTCTTCTAGTTACTTCAATCTTGTGGTTCGGCTCCGCGGTTATTACCTGCCCTAAGTAGACATAGTCTTTTAGAACTTGAAAAGCACTATTACCTATCTCGAAGCATTGCTCTTTTCTGAGGTTGTTGTACATTACTTTCATTTTCTGCAGATTCATTTTAAGACCCATCTTTCTGCTCTCCTTGTCTAACTCCGTAATCATGAGTTGCAATTCGTCCCCTGAGTTACTCAGCAATGCAATGTCATCGGGGAAGCGCAGGTTACTACTAAGGTACTCCTCATTAACTCTTATTCCTTACTGTTCTCATTCTAGGCTCCTGAAAACCTCCTGTAAGCACGCGGTAAATAGCATTGGGGAGATTGTGTCTCCTTGCCTTACACCCTTCTTGATTGGTATTCTGTTGCTTTCTTTATGAAGCACTATGGTAGCAGTTGATCCCTTGTAGATTTCTTCCAGGATGTTTATATATACTTCATCGATGCCCTGATTCTGCAATGTCTGCATGACGGCTGATATTTCTACTGAATCAAACGCCTTCATGTAATCTATGAAGGCTATGTATAGCGGTTGGTTATATTCTGAGCATTTCTCTATTACCTGATTGATAGTATGAATGTGGTCGATTGTTGAATAGCCTGTTCGAAATCCTGCTTGTTCCTTTGGTTGATTGAATTCTAATGTTTTCTTTACTCTGTTAGCAATTACCTTTGTAAATAGCTTGTATACTACAGAGAGCAAGCTAATCGGCCTGTAATTCTTCAAGTCCTTGTCATCTCTTTTCTTATGTATTAAGATAATGTTAGCGTTCTTCCAAGACTCTGGTACCCTTCCCGTCAGGAGACACCTCGTAAACAGGGTGGCTAGTTTTTCTAACACAATCTGTCCTCCATCTTTCAGAAGATCTGATGTTACCTGATCCTCACCAGCAGCTTTGCCTCTTTGCATGCTCTCCAAAGCTTTTCTGACTTCTTCTATCATTACTGGTGGGGTGTCATCTGGGTTACTGCTAGTTCTCATAGTAATAAAGTCGTGGTTGTCCCGGCTACTGTACAGATCTCTGTAAAAATCCTCCGCTATTTTAACTATCTTATCCATATTGGTAGTTATTTTGCCTTCTTTGTCCCTTAGTGCATACATTTGATTTTTGCCTATCCCAAGTTTCCTCTTCACTGCTTTGACGCTTCCTCCGTTTTTCAGAGCGTGTTCAATTCTCTTCATGTTATACCTTCTTACATCGGATACCTTACGCCTATTAATCAACTTCGAAAGCTCTGCCAGTTCTATTTTGTCTGTTGTACTTGAGACTTTCATGATTTGACGCTTCTTAATGAGATTCTTCGTTTCCCGGGAAAGCTTGCCAGTGTCCTGTCTAACTACCCTGCCTCCAATTTCCACTGCACACTCCGTAATTATACTCGTCAGATTATCATTCATTGTATCTATGCTAAGGTTGGTTTCCTCACTAAGAGCCGAGTACCTGTTCTGAAGCGAGACTCTGAATTTCTGTACTTTCCCTCTCAGTGCTAGCTCATTGATTGGCTTCTTGCGTATCAGTTTCTGTCGTTCCTTCCCCAATTCTAGGCGAATTCGAGACCGTACCATTCTATGGTCACTGCATCGTACCTTGCCAACCACTTTCACATCCTGCACGATGCCTGGGTGTGCACTCATTATAAAGTCTATTTCATTCTTATTTTCGCCATTAGGGCTCCTCCATGTCCACTTGCGGTTTCCTCATTTTCGGTAGAAGGTATTCAAAATCCGTAAATTATTGTGTTCTGCAAATTCTACAAGTAGCTCTCCTCTGGCATTTTTAGTACCGATGCCATAATCTCCTACAGCCTGGTCTCCAGCCTGCTTCTTCCCTACATTTCATATGGTTCCTAAATATCCTAGCCTTACTTCGTATAACAGTTCGATGTGTTGCTATTACACTCATTGGTGCGGCCCTGTGCCGATTCAGTGACTTTTCGTATATGTGTGTGTACTCACTCGTACGAAGGCTCCGCAGTATACCCAGAAAATCTTTAAAAAAAAAAAAACGTCATGCAGGTGACCATCGAGCGTGACCTGCACATCCAGGCCATGTTTGTGGACCACCCCATCTTATGGGACCTGCTGCGACTTGTAGCATCTGTGCGGCCCTCGCTGTGCTACTGCAGCGTCCTCCTGCGTGCGGTCATGGCTGTCGCCATGACCCACTGGCGCAACTGCCAGGAAAAAGCAGCCGCCTCCAGCCCCAAGCATCTGGACACGACCCGGACGGTGCTGCGCATCATGTCTCTGGGACAGCTGCTGCCGCCCGCCATGAACAGCCTGGGCGAGGTGCTGCCCCTACTGAGCCCCTTCGAGTTGTTTTGCGTGCTCTCGGACGTGTGGCAGTACATGCGTAACAACGTCCCCAGCCCAGCACTGTTTACGCACAAGAACCCCACGACTGGTGAACTGTGGCGCGAGTTCAAGACACCTGCTGCTGACCTCAAGTACATGGAGCGGCTGCGAGCCATCATGATCAGCAACATCCAGACGTGCGGACTGATCTTTCAGAAGTTCTTTAATGTTGATGCATAAAGTGGACCCGCCACCATCGGGCCCGCCATCACTAGCAGAAAAAAAAAACTGCACCAAGCAATGCGATGAAGAGAAGACTAGAAACTAGGGTTGTGCCCTCTGCACTTTTTTCATCCTTTCGTTTTAAGAGAGTCTGGTGTAGTTGTTGCTGACATCTTGACCACATGCACAAAAAAACCCTCCAAGGACAGAGCGAGGCACAATGCCATGGGTGATAAAATTTGAATGTTTATCCCTCGGGTCGTCACACCTCTCTCTGTTCTTGTCTTTTTCTTGTGCCATCAAGAAGTGAAACAGTTGTTTATTCTATTTGTAATTATATACTTAGTTTGGCTACATGGCCACAATGAGTCATAAAAAGTGTTTCACAAAGTAGGCAGAGCTCTGTAAGCTAGTTTTGTACCACGCATAAATCTAGGGTTCTGCTCAAACTAGGAATTATGACATAAGTTCTGAATTTTTTAGTTCATTAGAGTGCTGCACCTTCTCAATAAATATTCACTTCACGATTTCAATTTGTGTTGTCTGGTCTGACTCTTCTTTTTGTGCATAAGTTGAACATCCCAATAAACAAGCAGCTGTTTTATGTACTTTTTCAGAAGCGTACCATGCATCTGCCAGAACTTCTCAGTCACGAGACTCTGTGGTGGGCTGCAGAAGATGATGCGGACACCTTACTGGGCCTGCATGCCAGAGTTGCCAGATGACTCTGTGCTAACATGAAATAGTCATCACAAAGAAAGCCCTCAAAAAAAGAAAGCAGAAACCTAATGAATATTTCCATCTTGAAAATATTTTAATTATAATAAAAACTACTACCTAAGTATGTAGAAGAGTTGAGAAAATCTTTTCATTTATTTGGTTCAGCAAAAATATGTGCATCTGCGAACGAAAGTACATACATACTTTTTACAAATACCTCCAAGGTACTCTCCATTCGGTTGAATGCCTGTTTGTCAGTACATGACTTATAGTACTTGTCGTTATTTCCACAAAATATGTTTAACTTCAGTGCTCAAACTACTGAAAGTCGTGAACGATTTCTCCATTAATGAACAACTAACGTGCTCTTGGTAAAAGTGATAATTATTAAAATAAGTGTATTTGCTGGAAAAATGCAAATAAACCTTAAAAAACGTGACTAACAACTGAAAAACTTTAGCAGTTACTTCGCTCATTACAAGTGGCCATTATGCTGCTGCATGCCTTCTCACTCAACAGCGGTGAGGGACTGCCTGGCACCTTTTCTCAGTGTGGCTGTGAGTCTTGCAAATGACACAGTGCTTATAAAGGTGAACATGCTCAACAAACACCTGTCTGGCTGGGTGAAAATCAATTCGAATAAGGTAAACTCAACCAAGAAATGCCGCTAGCTTCAGAGCCGGCCAAACAGCCGCCCCTTATCGGCCAACTGCGGCGATTTTTTGACTGTGTCAGGATAATGGTGCTTTTATGTTTCTTAGACACTCTTCTCACGCACACAATAACTGAAATGCTTGTAGAATTCAAAAATAATTTTTAATTACTGAAAAGCCGCAATACGGAAACCGTAACCCAACCAAATGCACTTATACGTGTGATGTAAAGATTTGCCTGACGCTGTCAGAACCTGCCTGATTGCACATAATGTCCGCTAGATGGCGCCACCTGTCCACACCGTCCACCGCGATCGGCTGAAACGCTCACGCTGTTATGGTGAATATATGGCGAATCGTGTGTGGCTCACAATGCAACATCACTTGGCACCTATCGCACGCCAACCAACACGAAAAAGAAAATCGCACGGTCAACCAAGGAAGCACTAGCCAAACCCACGCATTTCATAGCAGACGAGCAGACGCTGCAGTGGCACATCAGTTCGTCACTTCCACGTGGCAAAACTCAACATCACACACACAATGTTGCCATTCATTCTGGCAAGCAAGGTGAGTGTTGTGAGGCAAGCTATAAAATTCATTCGAAAAGAATCTGCGAAATTCTCAAGCCTGCAATTTGGCATGAATAGTGAAAACGTGCAAATGAATGTACTCAGTGAATTTCATTGAGATCCACTGACCTCGAAAAATTGCCGGAGTTGGCCTTTAAGATGGAACCAAATCGGTCCTGAAAGGTCAGGTCAGTTTAGTTTTGAATTTCAACGTTAGAAACATTGGACTAAAAGTGGCTGGAGAGCTTACTTCATTCATTTGAATGGGCATAGATTGTAGAGGCAGGAAACCTCCCGTTTCTACTGAATATCGGGATGCCACTGCCATAAAAGCTATGTTGCTGCTTCAAAGCTAGCGACAAAGATTGCACACAGCTTAGAGGCACGTGTGTAGAGAGAAGACCAATCAATATTGTTTTAAAGTAGTGTTTACGTATCTACTATGACAACTGACACACATGATTGCAATTGCATGCTACACAGGAAAAAAAGCTGCTAAACAAGCGAAGACTAGTGTGATTGACGCTCTTGTGTTACATGCTCAACTGTTTCTTTCGTCCACCACCTGACGAATATTCGATTGCAAGCTTCTTGTGGGAAGTCGTGTAAGCGCTTTGTGGGCAGCATAGGTTGGCAAAAAATGTTGAATTCACTAAGACTCACTCATGAAAATTTTATTCCACCGGACTCACTCAAACTGGCCAAAATAATACTCACCTGGAATCGCTCGAACTCGGACTCTCGGCAAGAGGCAGAAACTCCCTATACCTTTCATGGGATGAGCTCTCAGGTGGTGACACGCTGCAACAGCACCGCTTCCACCACTGGTGGCTGCCAGGTATCCCGGGAGAAAGTATTCACAAACAAAACGTTTCTTTCATGACGTCACTGGTGAGGTTAGCGAATAGAGAGAAAAGGTGCGAACCCTTGGGAGGAGGGTTGCTGTGAAAGGTCTCGCCAACTTTGCATGCAAGCGGAATGTGCTAGTGCTGTCTAGCACGCTCTTTGGCTGCTTGGGCAATGTTGTCATTCGTTTAATTTTGTTCACCTTCTTTAAAACGTGGTTCACGTGTCGTGGAGTGGACAAGCAAAAGCTGATTCATTTTTCAATAAGACGAAACTCAATCAGCACAAGTAAAGTTAGCTTTTTTTAAATGAAATGTTTTCTAATACAGAGACATGTACATGGTGTGAAGCGACAATTTGCAAAAGCAGCTTTATTTCACGATTGAGATACGCACATAATGCACAAACAATGATTCAAAAATAGAATCCGAAACCATGTGAAAATTGTTAACATTCATGAGCAGGTCACGTCGTTTACTACTTGACTGAATCACATCTTTTATGACAGCTAACACATTTTCTTTCACACCTTGAGTGCCAAACAATAATGAAGTTAGGGGAAGATATGTGAAGCAATTAGAAATCGTTGAACAGCGAATGTTACTGGAGAATATGTTTTTAGGTTAGTTGACTTGTTTGTGTGAGGAAGAAACGTCCACTTTTCGAAGTGTGTTGGCTCCAGCAACTCGACTCTTTCTCAAAGCGTGAGTTTATCACATGTATTTGACTGACAGCATTGAAAGGCCCACAATGTTTTCTATATGCATTTCCATGGGCAGGAAGGGGGCTATAACTGCTTCACATCGTTTTAAACTCTGTAGCCGAGCCAACACACATTGAAGCCTTTCTTGAAACATTTTGTGAGTAGCAGGTAGGCTCTTGTCATCACAAATTAGCCTAGTGACACTGTCTAGTAAGGCTTGCAAGGAACTGGGTTTACTCATGCAAAATGAAAACCAACTCAAATAACGAACCCACATAGTTCACATAGCTTATACACCCACATAGCTCACCCATTGTTCCTAGCAAACCTCAAAGACTTTCGTGGAACTGGAAATCCTTGGCTTAATACACTGCAGAGTAGTGCGAAACATGCGAGGCCTAAATTTAGCCTTTTTTTTTTTTTCAATGCATGGTTGACCCAATTCCCCGGGCCTACTGTGGCTTCTGTTTGCTGCATGCCACATCAAATATCTTTGCTGTATTCATACTTGGCATGCTAACCGAGCGAGACAACCAAGTGCAGTCCAAAATCAATGGCAAGGTGGAGTGGAGGCAAGCGCTAAACACAAATCTTCCTGCGCTTTGCACGATTGAAAATTCTGAAAAGAAGGACTACATAAGACAAACAAAAGATGAGTTATCTACAGTTCAATTAAACTTCTTTAGTTATAAAAACTGGTGAAAGACAATGAACGTGAACATCCATGCTAACCTTTCTTCGTTCAGACAGATCTTAAGATGCCCGGCAACCATTTAGAGTGCACGTGTTCTCTGAAACCAATGCTTTTCCGGGGCACAGCTGGATCTGAGTGAGTGCAAGTGAGTTGACTCATGAGTCCGTTAGCTGAAAATTAGCTTGTCTGAAGATGGTGTCAATGCTCTTTAAAACCAATATCTCCTGTAAGCGTTGCTTTTCTTGGCGGCCTTCTGATTAGTACCTTACAATGTCTCTTATGAGTGGTAGCAAATGAGTAAGGACATTTTTCTTGAAAGAGATGACAACATAAGATAAATTTATCAAGAACTTCTTAGAAAGAGTTGGTGGGGAAACGTCAAGGCACCCCTTTACATAATTCATGCCTTTTATGAATAAATAGTGAAGTGATGTATGAACGACCATGCTTTGCACTTGGTGTGAGCAGACATTAGTACTAGCATGAGTATAGGTAAGGCTGATAGTAATGCTGAAGATGATTAGATACGCTGGTAGGTCGGCGAAAATAACTTGAACTCACTCAAGAAGTATACTCAAACCTCGATGCAATGAAACCAGATTTAAACGAATATCGGTTATACCAAAGTAAATGAAAAATAGTCTTGCAATAGACATAGTGTTAGGAATGTAACCTATTAACAAGTTTTTGAATATAACAAACTTATTTTTGTATAAAATGCAACTTTGTTATAATGAGGTTCAAGTGCACTTTGGACTTGCTCGTGCTGAGGCCTACCAAAATTTTCCTGAGCCAGACTCGTGCTCATGCAAATTTTGTTCAGCGAGATTCACTCAAGCTCACAAAAATATTAGTCACCCACGCTTGATCCAAGTGTGAGCGAATCGGAGTGAGTTGACTCATGAGTGAGTTTGCTGACCTATGATGGGCAGTGACCAAGGCAAATCCATCTATGTGTAAGCATGGCATGTCAATTTGCAGTCCTGGTCTTTTCATTCACTACGCAGATTCTTCTGCGGCTCTTGTGGTCACGCCGTTGGTGTTGCATGCAGCTTGGTGGTTGATATCCAAGGTTCAGAATTTGGGTCATTCCACGCCAAATGTCTCGGCCATTTTGGTGACCATCTCAAATGTATTCGAAAAGAGTCGTGCTGATTTACCGCATTGAAAACAGTGAACTGCTAGAATATTTCGGAGAGAAAAAATTTTTTGGTCACGTGACTGCCTCCTGAACTTCCTAGAATGTCGTTTGGGTGTTGTTTATGGAAAAATTTGTTTTAAATGTACCGTTCCTTATTTCTGTACCAAATTTGGTTTACATGTTAAGTAGAGGTTCTTGTGGAAG